ATAGTTTAAAGCGATTTGAAGCATGTTTTATATTTTGATTTAAAGCTTTCGTGACTGCAGTAATTCATATTCTTAGTTTTTTCGGTAAAGTCACGTTGAAGGGAAACAACAAAATAATAAAATATATGTAAAACAATAAAAAAATTCTCACGACGTTTCGACCATAACTCAAACGGTCGTCTTCAGGTGTGTTGGTTTGCATAAATGTATTTTTAAACGGCGCATTTATTTATTTATAAAAAAAACGTTAACGCCACGCGCAGCGATTTGGCAGTTTATTTAGGACTAGTCCATCTATATTCTGAAAAGAGGAGGGGGGAGAGGACATTTTATAATGTATGCTGTCTGAAAGCCACTGTAAGCGTGAACAATCAATTAAGACCTGAAATGGTTTATCAAATCTTTCCAATGATTGCTAAGATAGAATCCATCTTCTCGGTTGAAATTGTCTCTGTGCTTGTATATGTGGATAGCCTCATGAACGAATCTCTCATGGAAGCCAGATGGCTTACAAAGAACCTCTGTCTTGGAAAAGTCAATGGAATGTGAGCCTACTGAATTAGAACAATGATCTGCCACGGCCGAGGTGTTGGTCCTACCGTGTTTAAGGTCTGCTTTGTGTTCACGAATGCGGTCCGAGACATGGCGTTTGGTTTCTCCAATGTAACTACTACCACAGAGGCAACTTAGTTTGTAGACACCAGGGTATTGTATGTCCGGAATCACATCTTTTACAGATGGAACCAGATCACGGATGTTATGTAATGTGTTGAAACGGACCTGGATCTTGTGTTTATTCAAAATTTTGGAGATCTTTTTTGTGATCCCCGCAATGTAGGGTAAAGTGATGGTTTTGAAAGGCTCCTCAAGAGGGTTCTTCTTCATGGTTTGAGTGATAGCTTTTGCGGATTGTATAGTCGGAGTAACCATTAGCCCTAAGAGCTTGGTGTACGTGCTTGAGTTCACTGCTTATGTGTTCCTGGTCGGATATGCATTGGGCTCTATGATACAGAGTCTTGATGAGAGAATTCTTCTGTGATGGATGGTGGTGGGAATCCGGTTTCAGATAAGCATCCGTATGGGTAGCTTTCCTGTAGACAGAGTGGCTCATTGAACCATCAGGTCTCTTTTTAATTAGGACATCCAAAAAAGGTATCTTGCCATCTATTTCGACTTCCATGGTAAATCTGATGGCTGGGTGTATGGAATTGATGTGGTCGAAGAATTGGTCTAGAGCAGGCCGGCCATGTGGCCAGATGACAAAAGTGTCATCCACGTACCTCTTCCATAAGGTTGGGCGCAGAGTGGCAGTCTGGACGGCGTGAGTCTCAAATTTCTCCATGAAAATGTTAGCTATAACTGGAGAAAGGGGGGAGCCCATTGGGGTGCCCTCAGGTTGTTTGTAGAAAGTTCCATTCCAAGTGAAGTATGTATTGGTTAAACAGTGTCTCACCAGGGCGGGTACCTCAGTGTTTAGTCCTTGATGAACCAAGTCTTCAATGATTGCAATGGTGTCAGGTACAGGAACCTTGGTGAATAAGGAAACTACATCAAAACTGACAAGCAGGTCGTCTGGGGACAGGGAAATACCCTTGATTGTCGATACCAGGTGAGTAGAATTTTGTACCGCAGAGGTGGTCTTTCCAGTGAAAAGACGCAGGATTTCAGACAAAAAAACGAGCTAGTTTGTAGGTGGGGGAGCCGATAGTAGAGACTATGGGACGAAGGGGTGTATCTACTTTATGTATTTTTGGTAAGCCGTATAATCTTGGTGGCCTGGCAGCAGAAGGTTTCAACGAAAACTGTTTAGATTGATCAATTAATGCGGTTGAATCAGAAATTATTTTGTTGGTTTGTGTGACGAGGCTGTTGGTGGGATCTCTTTTTATTTTTGTATAACTACCATCGTCGAGTAATTCTTTAATTTTGTTGTTGTATTCTATTTTATCCATGATGACAGTAGCATTGCCTTTGTCAGCTGAGACGACTACAATATCATTCCTCTTTTTAAATTTATATAATTCAAAACGCTCATCTTTGCTGAGGTTGCTAGCTGGCATCTTAGCGTTTTTGAGGGTTGCAGCGATTTCAGATCTTGCTACGTCTGCAGCCATGTGACCCAGGCCCCTGAGAGCAACGTCTACTTGGGCAATTATATCATTAACTGGTATGTGTTTAGGTGTGACTGCAAAGTTTAGACCTTTAGCTAAAACGGATTTCAGACCATCGGAAATAAAACTGTTACTGCGATTAATTAGCGCGTGGAGCTAACGTTTTTGTAAAATAAATAAATAAATAAATAAATAAAACCATGAAGAAGAACCCTCTTGAGGAGCCTTTCAAAACCATCACTTTACCCTACATTGCGGGGATCACAAAAAAGATCTCCAAAATCTTGAATAAACACAAGATCCAGGTCCGTTTCAACACATTACATAAAATCCGTGATCTGGTTCCATCTGTAAAAGATGTGATTCCGGACATACAATACCCTGGTGTCTACAAACTAAGTTGCCTCTGTGGTAGTAGTTACATTGGAGAAACCAAACGCCATGTCTCGGACCGCATTCGTGAACACAAAGCAGACCTTAAACACGGTAGGACCAACACCTCGGCCATGGCAGATCATTGTTCTAATTCAGTAGGCTCACATGCCATTGACTTTTCCAAGACAGAGGTTCTTTGTAAGCCATCTGGCTTCCATGAGAGATTCGTTCATGAGGCTATCCACATATACAAGCACAGAGACAATTTCAACCGAGAAGATGGATTCTATCTTAGCAATCATTGGAAAGATTTGATAAACCATTTCAGGTCTTAATTGATTGTTCACGCTTACAGTGGCTTTCAGACAGCATACATTATAAAATGTCCTCTCCCCCCTCCTCTTTTCAGAATATAGATGGACTAGTCCTAAATAAACTGCCAAATCGCTGCGCGTGGCGCTAACGTTTTTTTAATAAATAAATAAATGCGCCGTTTAAAAATAAAAATAAATTTATGCAAACCAACACACCTGAAGACGACCGTTTGAGTTATGGTCGAAACGTCGTGATATTTTTTTATTGTTTTATATATATTTTATTATTTTGTTGTTTCCCTTCAACGTGACTTTACCGAAAAAACTAAGAATATGTTTTATATTTTTATATTTTTGTGACGTCATGTTTGAGGGGGGGGGGGTCTGACTTTTTGCGACGCCGTGTGACGAGGGGGGGGTCAAAAATCGTCCAAAATCGCGTGACGTCATTTATGGACAGCCCCTTTTAACTTTATATATATTTTAATTCTCATCGTCGTCGTGTGTGTGGAAATGTATAGCAGCCAAATACTCTAAACGCGTTTTTCTACGGAATCTTCGAGACCCATAGACCCACAGCGACCCACAGAGACCCATAGAGACCCACAGAGACCCATAGAGACCCATAGAGACCCACAGAGACCCACAGAGACCCGCAGAGACCCACAGAGACCCATAGAGTCCCACAGAGACCCACAGAGACCAATATACCCATAGAGACCCACCCACAGAAACCCATAGAAACCCACAGAACCACATAGAGACCCATAGAGACCCACAGAGACCCCATAGACCCATAGAGAACCGTAGACCCATACTCATAGAGACCCATAGACCCGCAGAGACCCACAGAGACCCATAGACTCACAGAAACCCTTCGACCCACAGAGACCTACAGACCCACAGAGACCCAGAGACTCGTATAGGCCCACAGAGACCCACAGAAATGCATAGCAGCATCGAAATAATTTAAACGCACTGACATTTTAAATGGACCCGGACAAAATCCACCACGTGGAGAGAGACGCAGACTCGGAATATACAGCAGCAGCAGGCAGGGTCGGGATCGAAACCACGACCTCCTGCACACCTGGCGAGGTAGTCAACATCTCATAGCTACCGTGGTGATGATGAGAGAGACGCAATTTGTACCTCCACACACATGGCACGGTTGACTACGTACGGTGCGAAAAAAAATTCAAGCCAAAGACAAAGATCCCCCGTATAGCCTTAACTGACTGTTGGGGCAATTGCTCTTAGCGAGTAGCACCTATGTTGTAGTGGGTTTAACTCTCCAACACACAGCAACCGGTTAGTGCTGTACTAGTAACGAATTGTAAATGTTGTAGTGGGTTTAACTCTCCAACACACAGCAACCGGTTAGTGCTGTACTAGTAACGAATTGTGAATGTTGCAGTGGGTTTAACTCTCCAACACACAGCAACCGGTTAGTGCTGTACTAGTAACGAATTGTAAATGTTGTAGTGGGTTTAACTCTCCAACACACAGCAACCGGTTTGCGCTGTACTAGTAACGAATTGTAAATGTTGTAGAGGGTTTAACTCTCAAACACACAGCAACCGGTTAGTGCTGTAACAGTAACGAATTGTAAATGTAGTAGTGGGTTTAACTCTCCAACACACAGCAACCGGTTAGTGCTGTACTAGTAACGAATTGTAAATGTTGTAGTGGGTTTAACTCTCCAACACACAGCAACCGGTTAGTGCTATACTAGTAACGAATCGTAAATGTAGTAGTGGGTTTAACTCTCCAACACACAACTTAGTGCTGTACTAGTAACGAATCGGCCACGTTCTGTTGATGTGACACAAACCCCCCATGAACATATACTGGCCTTTCACGACATGTGGCAATTTTAGATTCACCCCTCAAATGATGACTAAACCCATCGCCAGGGCAAAGCGGCGATTCCCCCACCCACAACCCACCCCTGCCCACCCACTACCCACCACTACCCACCCCTACCCACCCACTACCTACCCCGACCCACCCCCTACCCACCCCCTACCCACAACCACTCCCTACCCACCCACAACCCACCCCTACCCACCTCCTACCCACCCACTAGCCACCCCTACCCACCCCTACCCACCCCTTACCCACCCCCTACCCACCCCCTACCCACCCACAACCCACCCTTACCCACTCACAACCCACCCACAACCCACCCCCTACTCACCCACGCGCGCGCGACAGTGATGGAGATGCCGTCTCCTGCTCCTGCTGCTGTTGTCTCTGATGCTGGGGGTGGTGCCGATGACCCCGTGTGGCCGAGCCGAGCGGCGTGCCTGTCGCTCGCCCTCTGCGCCTTCCAGGCGCGCGCGGCCCTCGCTCTGTCGCGGGTGGTGGGAGGCCGCCTGCAGCTGCCGCCCGCAGAGCGATGGGTCGTGGCCTGGCTGCTCTATGACGCAGTGGTTTACATCACACTGGTGAGTGAGTGGGTGAGTGGGTGGTGGTGGTGGTGGTGTAGTTACACTGCAGCGCCACACCTATTTACCATCATTAGGGGAAAGAACGGTGATCCAATCTCCGACCCCCCGCCAGGAACATGTTTGCAGATTTTGCTGCGCATTTCTGTGAAGTCCTGGGGGTGGGGGAAATCCCTCAGCCAGGAAAACATCGTGAGGCACAAAGTGGGGATGACCCTGCTGAGGCTGCAGTGGTTCAAATATTGGAAGAAGTCACCCCCTGTGAGTGGCTGGCTGAATAACCATCTGTTGAGGAAGTACTGAAGGCGATCCGGAGTCTGAGACCAGGAAAGGCACCTGGAAGAGATGATCTCCCAATCGAAATGCTGAGGGAGGGTGGCGTTTGTGCACAGACTGTCCTACATGACATCATAACAAACAGTCTGGACCACTGGACCGGTTCCGCAGGACTCGAAGGATGCCCTGGTGGTCCCCATATTTAAGAAGGGAGACCACACAGACTGTAACAACTACAGAGGCATCTCACTCCTCAGTGTGCCAGGAAAGGTCCTGGCAAGAATTATTCAACATCGCCTTGCCAGGCGCACTGAGGAGAGGCTTGTGGAGCCCCAATGCGGTTTCAGGAAAGGGCGGTCCTGCACAGATGCCATATTTTCTGTCCGTTTACTACAGCAGAGGTGTAGGGAATTCCAACAAGACCTACATCTCTGCTTTATTGACCTGGTCAAAGCCTATGATACCACCAGTATACCTGGGCTCTGGGTTGTTCTTCGCACTTTCGGAGTCCCTAACCCGCTGCTCACGATCATTAATGACCTTCATGATGGTGAGCGGGCCCGGATTAAACTACGTGCCGGGAATCGGAGCCATTCCCTGTTCACCTTGGGGTGCGACAGGGATGTCCTCTGGCTCCAATATTATTTAACATCTATTTCGACCACGTAGTTCGTGAAGCCTTCAGTAGCTGTACCGGAGGAGTTTCCATCTGGTACAGATACAATGTGAGGCTGATCGATGCCAGGGTACGGTCAAGGGATGGCTCCCTATTGGTCAACCACGTTATGTATGCCGACGACCTGGTAATTGCGGCTCACTCAGAGGAGGAGTTGGAGGCGCTGCGGCTGGAACTGGAGTGTGCCACTAAGAGGTGGCGCCTTACCATCAGCCCCACCAAAACGAAGTACCTGCCTGGGTATTTTGTACCATCGGACACTCCACCCCCACAATTCCCAATCGGTGATGGGGCAGTTGTCGAGAGAGTGGAAAGTTTCCCATACCTGGGCAGTGTGCTCATGACCGGCTCCGGTTTAACAGCAGGGGTCACGCCGCACTACCCGTAGGGGTCACGCCGCTCGACCGGTAGGGGGTCACGCCGCTCTACCGGTAGGGGGTCACGCCGCTCTACCGGTAGGGGTCACGCCGCTCTACCAGTAGGGGTCACGCCGCTCTACCAGTAGGGGTCACGCCGCTCTACCGGTAGGGGTCACGCCACTCTACCAGTAGGGGTAACGCCACACTACCGGTAGGGGTCACGCCTCACTACCGCTGGGGGGCGCTGTGGGTGTCACCGTATCCGTGACGACGCTATGGGGTGTCCATGTAACGACGCATCTCCACCAACACCACTAACCACGTTGTCTCCACCGCGCACTCACTCACCCACACCACCATCACCACCTCCACCCACACCACTAACCCGCATCACCACTTCCGCCCACACCACCACCACCATCACCGCCTCCGCTCACACCACCACCACCACCGCCTCCGCTCACACCACCACCACCACCACCACCGCCTCCACCCACACCACCTCCACCGCCACGCTCCCCCCTCCCCTCCCCCGCCGGCCCGTAGCCACTTTGTACAGGTGTGCCTGTGCGTGTGCGAGCTGTACGTAGCCACTTTGTACAGGTGTGCCTGTGCGTGTGCGAGCTGTACGTAGCCACTTTGTACAGGTGTGCCTGTGTGTGTGCGAGCTGTACGTAGCCACAGTGTACAGGTGTGCCTGTGCGTGTGCGAGCTGTACGTAGCCACTTTGTACAGGTGTGCCTGTGCGTGTGCGAGCTGTATGTAGCCACTTTGTACAGGTGTGCCTGTGCGTGTGCGAGCTGTACGTAGCCACTTTGTACAGGTGTGCCTGTGCGTGTGCGAGCTGTACGTAGCCACAGTGTACAGGTGTGCCTGTGCGTGTGCGAGCTGTACGTAGCCACTTTGTACAGGTGTGCCTGTGCGTGTGCGAGCTGTACGTAGCCACTTTGTACAGGTGTGCCTGTGCGTGTGCGAGCTGTACGTAGCCACTTTGTACAGGTGTGCCTGTGTGTGTGCGAGCTGTACGTAGCCACTTTGTACAGGTGTGCCTGTGCGTGTGCGAGCTGTACGGCGGCTGGATGACGTCCGCCCCCGAGTGGCTGGCGGGCAGCGCCAGCCTGCGCACCGACAGCGCCGACCTCCTCTGGCTCTACCTCGTCTTCTTCGACGGCCTCTGGGTGCTGCTGCCCATTGTGCTGCTCGCCCAGTCCTGGGGGGCGCTCGCCGTCGCTCACCGGCCGCGCGTGGCCAAGGCCGCCGGCGACGGCGGCGGCGGCGGCAAGCGGAAGTGGCGATGAGCCGAGCCGGAAGTCGGTGCTGGCGCGACCGTTGGAGGAGATTTCCCGTCGTCTGTCCGCCCGCCCAATTTTTTTTGGATTGGCGCGAGAGAAATGAAAATTTAAAATTTTTTTAAAAAAACGAGCGATCGAATGCCGACGGGTACCAACCACCCTTTGTCTCCCCAATCGAAACATTTCCCCGCCCCCCCCTCCCCCCACCCCAGCGGTGCCCTCGCCAAAATGCACATCGGAAGAGCTGCGGTGAAAGAGAGGAGGGCGGGGAGAGAGGAGAGAGAGAGAGAGCCGTTTTTGCTGAAAATAACGTGCGCGTTACGCCGTGCCGCATTGCCGCGAGTAAAAAACGCCCGACGTGAATCGGCTCGACATCGTGATGGAACTGTTGTGCTCTTTGTGGTTCTTTCGGTAAAAGTTCACGCAGGTAGGATACAAAAAATTGAAATAGATCTCGACGTAAATCGCTCGCGACAAATTTGTGAGCCACGCCCCTCGCCGAGCTCACGTTTAATGTCGGCTGCCCCGCCCACATTTAATGTCGGCTGCCCCGCCCACATTTAATGTCGGCTGCCCCGCCCACATTTAATGTCGGCTGCCCCGCCCACATTTAATGTCGGCTGCCCCGTCCACATTTAATGTCGGCTGCCCCGCCCACATTTAATGTCGGCTGCCCCGCCCATCTCCAAACCTTCATAAACAGGCCGCCTCAGCAGATTTCCCCCTCTTCTTTGGTTCTTTCGGTAAAGTCACCACGTAGAACGAGAGCTAAATAGAAAAATAAAACAATAAAATTCTCACGACGTTTCGGCCACAACGCAAGCGGCCTTCTTCAGGTGAAGGAACAAAAAAACTGTCGGGACGACAGAGCTCCAATGAGCTCCAATGAGCTCTGTCGTCCCGACAGTTTTTTGTTCCTTCACCTGAAGAAGGCCGCTCGTGTTGTGGCCGAAACGTCGTGATAATTTTATTGTTTTATTTTATTATTTCATTCTCATTCTACGTGGTGGTGACTTTACCGAAAGAACCCAAGAAGATGAATCCTTGCAGTCACGAAAGCTTTCAATCGAAAGATTTCCCCCTCGTTCACACCTGAGGACGGTCGCTTGCGTTGGTCTATTTAGTTTTTTCTCCCCGCATACCACGTGATGACTTTACTTGAAGGGAACGAAGACCGTGGATTCCTGCAGTCACGAAAGCTTCAAATCAAGATGGCACTATTGCGTGCTTGCTTGCTGACGAAAAGTGTTACCGGCAGCGCGTGGCAGCACCGCACGTCAGCAGGCGACGGTAGATACGGGGAGAAAGACAGCGAAGGGAAAGCTCTGGAAGGGGTCCATCTAGAAGCCCCCGGGAACCTGCTGGTAGGTTCCAAAAGGGGGACGTGGCCAGGGCGGGGCGAGGCCACGCCCTGAGGTGGGAGCTCGGGGCTGTTGCTAAAAGTGGATCTCCTCGCCGTTCGTCACCATCGTCGCCGCCGCCATCTTCACCATCGCCGGCAGGGGCGGAGCCATGGGGGTGGGGGGGCTGGGGGGGGGGCTCGGCCCCCCCTGAAATTTTGGGAAAGTCGGTAATCGGGATAACCGGATATCCGGCTGCTGCAAAATGCTGCAGGCTGCCACCTTGTGCTGCCCTGCAGGCTGCCACCTTGTGTGCTGCCCTGCAGGCTGCCACCTCGTGCTGGCCTGCAGGCTGCCATCTTGTGCTGCCCGGCAGGCTGCTTGAGCGGCAGCCTTTCGAACTCATCGAACTTATCAGCCACATCAGCGGCTCCGACCTATTAATAAACTCCGAGTTCAAATCCAAGACAATTTGTTTTACGCATTTTGTGGCGCCCATTGGAAAACATTACACTGGATATCTCAGAATATTGAAGTCAACCCCCCCCCCCGCTCCCCCCCCCCAAAAGTCAACATCCTGGCTCCACCCCTGATCACCGGGCCCCGCTAGCTCGACAGCCTGCCAACTGTACTAGCTAGGTAGTGCCGCTGAGAGTAGGCACGGCTGTGTGTGAGATATACATAAAGAGTGTGCACCCACGTAGGGTGCGTGCAGTCCCCTTCGCGTGCAAGAGTAAAAAAGGCGCCTCCAATGATTCCTGTCTCCGAACTGCGTCACGACACTGACGTAATGACGACTCGACACACTTCCCTTGAGATGGCATCTCATTGAAGACACGTTCACTTGGCATCAGGTGGAGACCTCCACCGCAACAGCCCCGAGTCTCCCGCGCATCTCCCTTATATACCAACACGAGGCCACGCCCCTTTTCTCGATCATTCTCGCCGACTCTGGACGCTCGCTCCACCGGGGGACTCCACCGTTCCCTTCAGTCACATGACCATGCCCCCCTTCCCGAACCTTCTCGCTGACTCTGGACGCTCGCTCTCCCGGTAGACTCCACCATTCTCTTCCGTCACATGACCACGCCCCCCCTCATCGATGATTCCCGTAGCTACCGGTCCCTTCGTACACCACGACTGGTTCACTTCATAAGGGCCGATTAACTTCCACAAGCTCGACTGATCCCCACCACGGACGGTGCAACTTAGACGATGTCTGCAGCTGCACCCGCGGACAATGCCCCGACAGCCCAGAGAGGCACGTGCTGGCACCGCTT